TATCAAGGAGAATGAAAGACAAGTCGACGGTTTAATAATAAGAGCACGAAATTCAAAAGAACATCATTGATTCGTAAAACTGATATTGTTGAGGTGTTTTTTGTTTTGTTTTTGCTCCTTTCATTTGTGGCTAACCGCTCGGAGTTGCGTCTTTCTCACTCAAAGTTTTTCTAGCTCTAACAAAGGAAACTAATTCCGTATGTTTGAATGGATGGGTTGACTTGTGAGAATCAGTTTTAATATATATCATACCACTGATGAGCTTTCGAATGAAACTGATAATAACTATCAGAAAAGTGAAGATACATGAAAAGTAGGAAATTGAAAATGCTTCAGATTGTATTTCTTCAATAAGGAACGTTTTTGATGAATTACATCATGAAATAAGAAGTGAATGAACTAATGAAGTTACCTGACTTAAAGGCACTTGCGAAACAATCAGAGTTAATAGTTGATTTGAATTTTGAATCAAATCAACCACTTTCTCCTTAGTTGCATCCTCGACGTTTATCCCATTCACAGTTAAAATTTGATCATTCACAAATAATTTACCACAGCTCGGACCAGCTGAATACAGTAGGGTTTTGTTCATTGCGAGAGCATAACGATTAGTAACAATGATATTCTAAATGTTTACTATATCACCTCTGCTACATGCAACATAATGTGAGTGATAATTGTAACATGACAATGAATGAATGAACCTGGTGATACAAACTGCACAACGACGGGACGTTGAGATGCGGCCACAAAACCGTAGCCATGCGTCAGATCGCGTGAAATTTGAACGATACGCTTGGATGCAGTTTGACGAGGATCTTCGTAGGTTGTTTCACGTGTTATGTGACTACAAATTAACAAACCAGTTGCCTGTTCATTCAGATCATTTTCTATACCAATGAAGTGAGTGCACAATAGTGCTACTCCACCCTTTCAGACATCTCTTAATCAGCCAGGAGCCTTAAGAACTGCTTCAAATGCTTCTTCTCGTCTAATTCTGACATGAAGTCATCAGGAGGACAAATCGTCAGGTACTACGCTGAAGAATCTCCAATGAAAAATTACCCCCAGCAAGATACCTCATTAAAGCGCTCACCCGTCCGTCCCCTTAAAGTCCCTCTCTCCGTCAGATGCAATTTGGATGTTGTGCCAGGCTGGAATAGCAATGTCAGTGGTGAAATTTCAATTAGTGTTTCAAATGGTGAGAATGGAAGTGAAAGAATTTCCATTTTACATGAATAAAAATCGGTTTATTTCTTCCAGTATCCATCCGCAAGGAAATCAACTATCCGTGCATATCCAAATGGGATTGAAAAGAAACATTTTTCGGATTATTCAAGCAAAATGAAAAAAATTCGATTCGTTGAATATGCCGAATGAATTCATTTGGATACATAACACAAAACATGATGGTGAGCAAAAAATGTTTATATTTTTCTGTGAAACCTTATTAACAACCAGCAATATTATAGTAGTGTGCAACTTGGTAAGATTATAGATTGATATGAATATGATCGGATAGGCATTCAGAAGGATGTCTTGCAAAGAATTCCTAGTCATCTTAGGTCATATTTTCGTAATTATTAGATCGACTTTCGATAGATTTTTATATATTCATTTCTCATTAACTTCAGATTTTGTCTGGAAGAGGAGAAAATTAATGCCTTGAAACTGCTGGTCGTTGATATTAATGAACGGCATTTTTCGAAAAGTTTGCGAAGAGTCTTCATATTGCACTCCATTCGAAAATGTATGCCCGCAAATTCGATGACTCACTCAAACAGACTATATTGATAAGCAATGTTGAGAATTTTGCGAGTTTCTCTGAGAGCTGCTAAGAGAATTGAAATTGATATTAGTATGCACTGTGTAAACGAATTTTACGATAATTAAGAGTGCAATGAGAGTAGAACAAAAAATAACACCAAAAAGTAACGAAGATAATTGAGACTCTTCTTATTTCAAATTCTCTTTGCAACAATACTCATTGCCAGTTCAATGTCGACTATTCATGTATGAATTTCGGATTGTCAAGCAAAATGGAGCTATTTTGTGAATTTTGTGGAACTGTACAAAATCAGAAAAATGATCGTGGATTTCATGCAGAATTGATCGCGTATTAACTGCATCAAAACTTTAAACTAACTAAACTTTCGTTCCATTTTTAAATCTAAACCAGCAAACGATTCAATTACTGTCTCTTTTAAAGATGCGTGATCATACTTCAGGCGACAGCAAGCGATTCGTTTGCTTTTCATTTCGGGCAATCTTGCTCATGTTTTGCTTTTGACATCTTTCAGAAGAAGGTCTTTATTTAATTCCGGGTTGCTACAAAATATGGCAACAATGTAACACTCAGCTGAATTTAAAAAGCGGTGAAAAACAAGTCGACTAACTTAATGAAGTAAAGATTGCCCGCTGAGTCGATCGCTTGTTCCCATGCGTATGGTAAGCCCAACGTGCAGTTCCACGAGGCACGTGGAGGATACCAGTACGAGGAGAGTGTTGAATGGCTGAAAAGTTTGTTGCTTCATATGACTCGATGCACTATGTGCTCAATTTTTTATTCATTTGTTTAATTTTCTTTTTTGTTACGAAAATGCCTACATATATATGTAGTGCTTAAACTGTCTGATTTGTCACAATGAAGATACTTTAGAACAATTTATTGACAGCAATTGGCACTTAAACTGTCTTATTTGTCAGAATGAAGATACTTTAGAAGGATTTATTGACAGCATTCGAAACGATGCAAATTCACTGAGCATAGAGAAGAAATAGTCAATTAAATGCCAGTGTCATGACTCAGTTGTCAGCGATATGGCTTTAATGTGCGTCTGATGAGTAACTGTATTCAGACATGCTCCATTGCTCGTCAGTGAACGGCTATCAATTTCCAGAAGTTAGATGTTCTTTTCTCATGGGCTTTAGCCATTAGCTTTGAGGTAGAGGCAAAGTGCAATGAAAATTACACGAAAAACGATCGCTGCGCTGAGAAGAATGTGCATGTGGTCTGCTCAGATGTTTTGGATGAATGACTGATGTTTGCAGTAGTTGCTTGACACGGTGACGATTCATTCGTTTTAATGAATCCACAGCTGAATACTTGAAATTGTTCGATTCTT